AAGACCCTTCTCAGATCGGGTAGCAGCAGTTATTGGACTGGGCCATGTAGGGGGGGTATGACTGAGTGGCTGCAAAGGGACTCTAGGAGGAATGTTTAAAATCTGGCTATGAATTCCACCCTCGCTACTGCCTCTAGATAGGATGGGAGCATAGTATGAGGACCAAGACAAAGAACCGGCTGCTTTGGTTGGTTGTGTTTCTGTTTGCCAGAGTGTCACAGAGGGTGTGAGAGGGAACAGGCTGACTTCCATGGTTGCAGATTTTAATCCCACTGTTGTTGTAAGATCGCATGTGTGTTTATGGTGATGCGATTCTGCCATTATGAGACCCATCCTCTTGATCCAGTTACTGTTTCTGAGAACCATCAGAATGGCTCACAATCTTGTTAGCATTCTTCTGCTTCCTTGTCTGGCTCTGGTGGCCTTGGAGAGCTGGATTTTGTGTATGTGAGTGTATGCATGTACACACATGAACACACATGCAGGTACAGTGTGGGAAGTAGGGCGCACGGGACATAAGCAGTTTATTACAGAGGGAAGCAGTTCAGGGTCAGTGGCTTGAGGCCTCTAAGACCAGTTTGCTCAGTGTCCCCGAGAACAAGGGAGAACAATGATGTTAACGTTCTGATGGTGGCGACATGTCCACGGGCAGGCCAGTGGAGGGTAGGCTCAAGAAGGGGAGAATGAGAATGAGTCTGTGAGGTCCAGGGATCAGAACAGGAAGGAGGAGTCAGGCTAGTGAAGATAAATTAGGCCGGATCAGTCTTGAGCTTTGGAAAGAGAGATGGAATTAAGGAAGTTTGCAGGCTTCTCTCTCAAGAACCCTCGGAAAGTATGAGGAAAAAAACTAACCCACAGCATTAAAAGCATTTAATGTTTGCACATTTTTATGTGTTGGTGGGCACATATGGTGACAAAGACTGGCTGGAGGGAATGCGATATAATTACAGTAGAAATACGAGAACCAGTAAAAAAGCCAGTATCTCGTGGGGTATATTCAGCAGTTGCCTGTGTAAATTTGAGCACTAGCCCACTTGTGAAGCATCTGGCTAACTTCAAGGGAGGAGGAGAACAAAGGTGTTCCTTACCCACTGGGGACAGGGGCCAGAGCTGAACTACCAGTCCACTTTGCCCCATAACAAGACCGAGGTGGAGGGGAATAAAAAGCAGGCGAAACTGGGTTTCTCTGAGGAGGTGGGGAGGAAATGGTGACTCCTTGAGAAAATGACACCCCAGTTAGCTGTAGAAGTCTGTCTCTCCTTGAATGGTGTGAGTGGTGGGTGGCACCCACGAGCACAGGCACTGGCTGTGTGAAGAAAAATGCATGTGGGCGACACCAGAACGCACAGGCTCGGGATGTCGGAGTCAATACATCCTTAAGTTGGTATTCCGTGCCAGTTATAGCCAATCCCTTCTCAATCTTGAAATAATGCCCTCACTAAATGAGCCACATTTTCCTGTTCCTATTACGAGATCCACATGCACTGCTGCCCTGTTTGTGCCAGGCAAGCAAATCAGGGAGATAGACACCTTATCATTTAGGAAAGGACAATTTGAAGTCATCGGCTGTTTGTGGATTAATTTTCCAGTGGAGCCAGTCTGCTTCGGTAAGAATTTAAGGAGAAGATAGCACAGGCTCCGGGAACCGGATTTTCCATTCCTATTTTTTCACGGGAATCTTGTTTTGTTTCTTTTGCGGTAAAAGACACCTAGAACAAAGCCAGGACAATCTGGACAGTTAGTGTGTTAACCTCTAAAGGAGGTGCCTTGACTGTCCCTGCCAACATCTGCGCTGCAGGATGTGGTTTGATTCTGCTCTGTCTTCCAGCCACTGTTGAGTGCCTGCAGAGAACAGGACACGTAATGGCACGGAAGTAATTTCACTGCCACGATTCCTGTCCCTTGAACTCACTGGAGATTTCTAATTGTAGACAAGTGTCCCACTGTGACACAACTAGAGTGGACAAAAGACTTAATCGGCCCTTTCAACCATTACATTAAAGTGCGAACAAAAAGAATATGGAAAGAAATTTATATTTTATTCTTGAAAAAAGAAATCCACGCAGAAAAATCACCCTTGGAATAGGGGACACTGTACAAGCATGATTTCAGGTTCAAAGAGACTCTTCAAAATGTACTTGTTACCCTTCACTGGGCCCTATGATTGAAAGCATTTAATCTAATTCCAATCAATCCTAATTAGCTTGAGTACATATTTCTTTTCATTCAATTAACATTTACTAAAGGCCAGTGATCTTTAATGTTCCACGGGAAGCAGTGTGGTGCTACTGATGTGATTCCTGTCTCTAGGAGCTGAGGAATCTATTACAGTCTTGGGAAGACTCCTTAAATTTTTTGTTCTTAGAACATGGGGTGTGTCATTGAAGTGTGTGTATTGTTGAAGGAAAACCAAAGAAAATGTTTATGGGTTTACCTGGTTTTGTCTGAATACTCTGATTTTTTAAAAACATGACAGGAAATGTTACATCCCACTGTTGATAAACAACTATAACAATTTTGTAAGACTGAAATATAGCATATAAAAAGAAAACAGAGCAAACTTAGTATAGAATAAAATTGAACATTAGTGTTAGATATGGTGTAGATCTTGTGCTTAATCCTTAGTTATGAGTGAAAATATGCAACAGCAATGTTATTGATGTGATGATTATGAAAAACATTTTGTACTTGATGGAGATCAAGTATCTTAATTGGTGTACCATACTCAAATTATACAAGTATTTGAAGGATGCTTTAATGTTACTACTTAACTGAAAGTGTATCCTCCACTACCATTGGGAATAATTTCTTAGAAATGATTTAATAACTTGGTTTTTATAACAGGACACTTCTGATTATCTTAGACCGATCTGCATTAGACAGAGGTTTGTCACTGAGGAGACAAGAAGGACAAAACTGAAGGGGTTTCTTGTTTAGATATTAGATAATGAGGATTAATTTTTTGTAATTTTATGATTCATTCACATAAGCTAACTCATATTCTATTTGCTCTATTTTAAAAATTCACTGATACCTCAGCATGGCTGGGTCTGGGTGACAGCATGAAGTAGAAGTTATTTTTTAGTTTTCTAGGTCTTCCCTTCGGCAACTCCTCTTATGCTTCCAAGAGGTCCACATGCAGGAGCTTCCTGGCTGCTCGGCGCCTCCACCCAGGCCTGCCCTCCCCCAGGGCTCCTCGGAGTCAACATCATTCTCCTCCTTTCCCTCTTAACAGTCTTGTGCCCCTAGCTGATCGGATTCCACTGGTTGTTAGGTAGTCATAGGATTAAACCCATTCATACTATGAATTAATAATACCTGACAAAGGCTAATTGTGATTACAAGTCTAGGGCATTTGCATAATAAGAGAAAATTGTTACTCTGAAAGAATGAATCTTTCTTGGTGGCACTGCTGTGGTTTTGAATGAGGACCTTTCAAGATTCCTCAAGTGACCCTGCTCAGGAATCTGCCTCCTGCACCTCTCCTTGAATTGAGTAGAGGCTCTTTTTCCCCTCAACACTGTGGCCAGTTGTCTTAATTTTAATACTTGAGATGCTAACTGGCATTAGAGCTTTAATGCTTGTGCAATATAACATCAGAAATGACAGATATCTCATTATGGCCTAGGTGCTGGGCACTTAATTCCAAGTCCTGTCTTCTTAAGGGAGAAGAATGTCAGGTTAACAAGATCATCAGTATCACTGAGGTTGTTGGAGCCTTTACTCAAGATTTTCTACCACTTTGCCCTTGGTTTTGCAACTTCCTGAGGAGTGGTGAGATGCTGGAGGGAGTACTTCCTCTGTCCTTGAGACTTTTACAGGCATATAGAAACCACACCTTTGTTTTATGCTCTGCATCTTTTGGCTACAAGTGTGAATTAAATGTCCAAGATTTCTTCTACCAAGAACATTGTGACCTCTTGCTGCCTCCGATCCCTTACTTCTCAAGGGTTTTCTAGGATTTCAAAGGTGTGGCTGTCCTTCCTTTATGTTTCAGAAATCGTCTGTCTTCATTGTGTAAGTCCTTCTAAAGCAACAGGAAATGAGACATCAAGAAACTGGTAAATTTGAGCATATTTCTATTGGAAACAGACTTATTATAATTGATTCCAGACAAACTACACTTGTCTAAGGCGAGTTTACTGACTTAAAACCAAGTGTTCTCAGGTAGGAGGTGGGTAGGTGTGCTTATAAAGGAGCAACTCAGGGGAAGATTTGTGATGATGGAGCTGTTCTGTATCTTGACCATGGTGGTGGCTACACAAACCTACACGTGATAAAACTGTATAGAATAAAACAGACACACACAAACTACCACATATTAAACTGGGGAAATCTGATTCAGATTGGGAAATTGTATCAGTGTTGATACCATGATTGTGATAGTGGGCTATATAGTTTTGCAACATATTTCCATTGAGGGGAATTGAGTAAAGGGTACAGGGGATCTTTCTGTGCTATTTCTTACAACTGCGTGCAAGTCTACAGTTATCTCAAAATAAAAAATAAAATGTAAAAAATGTTTTCTATTCTAGGGTCAGAGTATTTAGAAAATCCATACATGCATATTAGCAAACAAACATATCCACAAATAAGTAGTTAAGGTTCAGCCTACCATACACATTGTGAGTACTGAGTGGAGTCAATTTTATGTTTAGGCAATAGACTGAGTCTAAATCCGGTGTCATAAAGCATAGCCTCTTGAGATCTCACATAAACAGGACAATCGTGACTATTATATTTTTTCTATGCTGGTGAATGTAAATGTTCAATGAAGAAGGAAAATAATCTGAAAGTTTGTAATTCTCTATTTGTAGTGATTTTTATATGGAGGTGTTTAAAAAATCTCTTAAGGAAAATGTTTGAAAAGGCAATCCAAATCCACATGTTAAGGACTAGGAAGAAACAAGGTGCATGTTTGACACGTCTTGTGCCATTTTCCATGATACACCCTCTCTTAGTCCATTTGGGTTGCTCTGACAAAAATACCATAGACTGAGTTGGCTTAAACAACAAGGATTTATTTCTTCATGTTCTGGAAGCTGGGAAGTCCAAGATCAAGAAGTTGAAAGGTTTGGTGTGTGGTGAGAGCTGGCTTCCTGGTTCATGGAATGCTGTCTTCTTGCTGTGTCCTCATTCAGCAGACGGGGCCAGGGGTCTTTTTAAAAAGGGCTCCTCCTTCATGACCTAATCACCCACCAAAGGCCCCACCTCCCGATACAATCACGTTAAGGATTAGGATTTCAACATATAAATTTTGGGTGAACACAAACATTCAGTCTATTTGTGAGCATAGTACAGTATAATAACAATGTCTTACTTATCCTTGTGTTAGAGCACAAGGCTTCCATATTTTAGCTACAGATAAAAACACTTATAGATCTTCCAACAGTCTGCTTATAATCATACTGTAAATCTCTCATTGATTCAAAATGAGTAAACTGTTTGATTAATAGAGTTAGTGAACTTGAATGATGCAGCAATTACCAATTTCAAAGGATTCACAGAAAGTAAAATATAATTTAACTCAATCAGCTCAATCATTATGAATGAGAAGTTAATATAAAGTAGATGATGTGATAAAGAATACTTATTTAAATTTGGGGCTAAATTTGTTACTTTTCAGGATCCAGCAGCGTTTTAAAAAATATTAGTGTATCTCAATAATTACTGCAATGAGAAAAAATAGGAAAGTTATGGTCTACATATTAAAAAAATGTAATGATCGCAGATTCCCCATATCCACTATCATTTTTCCTTTATAAATAAAATGTATTTAAATTTTCTGCAATTTCTGAGGTCTTAACACTTTCAAATTTCTTCTTTAGATGAAGACATTTCTACAAATATGATGCCAGGTCATAATTTTTATAATGTTTCAGTTTTTAAAAATAAGTTAGTAATTGATTTAGCATTTTTTGTTCTGTTTTGTTTTACTTATTAGAGAGAGGGGGAGGGAGGGAGAAAGAGAGGGAGTGAGCAACATCAATATCAGAGAGAAGCATAGTTAAGTTGCCCCTAGCACACCCCCAACTGTGGGCCTGGCCTGCAATTCAGGCATGTGCCCTGACCAGGAAGCAAACCAGTGACCTTTTGGTTTGCAGGCCCGCACTCAATCCACCAGCTGGGTCTAATGTTTCAGGTTTGAAATAATTTTAACCATCACCAACACTGAAATTTACCTCTTTTATATTAAACTGATAAAGTGTCTACTACATACTAGCTCAGTTTTCTCATAGAATCTATTCTGTAATCAAGCATTTTAGCTCACGAATGATAACTTGGTCTACTTGCCAGACAGTTGAGGGAATGCCAGCAGGGAAGAGAACAGGAAACATCACTGACAATGAAGACAAGTTGCACAGCTGGTACAGAGCTTTATTTTTCTTCAAACCTGTCATTTTCTCCCCATTGCATGTAAAAAGCTTGATGTTTAGAATTAGGAATTTTCTTAACCCCCCAAATGCCTAAGTGGAAGAAGTGTACAGCACCTGCAAACATGATAATCAATTAAAACCAGAGGCACTGGTCACTTTAAGGGTCTTGAATGTGCATCAGCTTCACTGACTCATGAACATTTTCAGGAAATAGATGCTGTACAGCATTTACACTAAACAACAAAAAGTCCTCTGACATTGTTAGACGTCTGTGCATTTGATTCACTGGGATTCCTAATCTACAATGAACTTTAAAGCATGAGTCAATTAAAAGAAAATCCACTCCATTGGTAGTGAGAATTTTTTTTTGAAAATTCATATTGCTCTATTAATCTTCATTCATATTTAGCTTACTTAATATTTACTAGGTATTTAGTATCTTAGGAAATTTCTTATTTTATTCTTGGAGTCTTCATTTTCCACAAATGCAATTGGTGCTGGTTTCATTAACTGCTATTTTCAAAACCTCAATATTCTACTTAACACATAGATACACTTCTTTCAGTAGATCAATTGTAATGGTTCTTCAAAACCATAATCTACTCAGGCAACTAATCTGCTGTTTCTTTCCTTTTTGTTCGGGCCTGTGGAACCTTCATTTAAGGAGCTGTAGCCTTGGGGCATCTCAGGGGCTGCGAGTGGGGGAGGGGAAGCACCTGACTTCTGCCTCTAACATCAGTTGGCAGAAACCATTCAAGCAAAAGGGTGAGCATCACATGGCATGTAATTAATGTAGTATTAGGAGCATGCCCAATTTTTGCAATCTTCTTTTTTATATGAATACATTTATGATTTTAGTTTTGTCCTGACAGTAGAAAGACAATTTTAACTCATGCTTTCAGTTCCAGATAGCTCAAGGACCAGTGTGGAACTATTTTTGAGATTTCTTGACTCAGAATTTAAAATCTGTCATCAACAGAATATGGTGCTGCATGAGGTAGTGAGGTCCCTATTTATCAGAGATTTTCAAGCAGAATTGAACCACTACCTGTGAGGCACAGTGTAGAAAAGATAGGTAAACCTGATAACCTCCTACTTTGTGACTCCGTCCTTTAAAAATCACTGATTAACATTAAGCCTTACCTAGCTCCTTTGATTAAGACCCATGAAGAACATGGCATTCTAAACCCTGCAAGAATAATTTAGTAACTGTTTATTCTAGGTCTGAAAATATGCACCAGTCAAAATTACCTGGTTAGGACAAAACTTTCCTATTTTCTCTTTTATGAGGACACAATCATTAATACTTTTCATGAATGCTAGCATAATTCTCTTAGACCCTTCTTTTGAGAGAACCTATGAATGGTTAGTTATATGCATGGTTTATTGGATAACTCACTCAATAAGTTGTTTTGCCTCTTTAATCTACAGTAAAATACTTTCTACCCTTTTCACGTGCTTTACTTTTCCCATTTGGTAGTCTCCTTTCTTGTTTTGCTTACACGCCCCACATCTCCTTTACCTGAGAGGAATTCAGCTTTCGAAGGTTACTGATTGTCAAAGAAACTTACGTTCTTAGCTCGATCTTAGATTTGGCCTGGATTTGGTATTGTCTTGTTGTTTTGTGGCACATCTATTACTCATGCCTACTCCCGTGGAAGTTCTGGGTATGTGAGCCTCCTGATATTTTCGGATTCTCATCATTAAGTTTGCTGTAACATGTCAAAAATTATTTCTTTATATAGATAAAAGAAAATTGCTATAAAGTTTGTCAAGACAGTTAGGTTTCTGAATTTGGAGAAAGCTTGTAGTTTTACATAAAAATTATTTTATTTTTTCTTCTTTCCCCAAGATATGCTTCCGGTGCAACAGGTAGGGAAAAGAACTGGCTGCCGATTTCGTATCATTGGAAAGAGGAAATCAGGCAACAGTGACATGCCCTCTGGGTGGGACGTGGCACACATTCCACACACCTGTGCACACCCTTTATTAATGCAGCAATCAAAACACGGGATGGATCACGTGTTTTTCTACTATCACATCGACTTAAACGGTAGTCATCTGTTTCCATATTTAAATTATTTTTAAAAAGTGAACATTTAAAGTTCACAAAATCACCAGTTTGATATTTATTCTGAGGTAAATTTTTTTCTATCTTGTTTTCCCATTGTAACAAAGGATATCCAGAACTAGATATACAGCAAACCAAACATAAATACGAGCATCTCCTTTGACCCTAAATCACTGTAGGCAGCTCTGTGGAGTCTGAGAGATACACTTGAAGGCTTAGGTTACTGGTTAAATAAAAATAATTTATGTTCAAAATATTGTTAAAACTATTTGTTTTCTATTTTTATATTCTCTAAAAGCTATCATTTTGATTGTGGTATTCTAAATATTAGCCTCCTTAAAATGATATCTCTATAGAATCTCAAAGATCATTACCAGCCTCATATGATATTTTCTTGTATAACACTCAGTCCTCTGGAAAACATAATAAACAATTCTGTTTTATTTTATTTCCTCCATAACTGGTTTATTTAATCCAAACCTGATTGATTACTGTACAAACCCTAAGAAAATCATTAGGAAAACGAACTTTGTTATCTACTGAAGGATTTTTAAAAGAATAGATGAGTGTAAACATGACTAATACCTTGAAGATATTAGGTGCTTGAAATATGTGTGGGAATACACAGTGAGATTTGGTAGGTATTTAAAGAATACAATAAATTAGCGTAAAAAGTAAAAATAGAAATAGACCAATAGTCTTAATGTCCTGCCAAAAGGATCTTTGTGAAGATAGGTACAGGATAGTAGCTGAACTGTCCTGAGTATAAAACAGAGTATCTGAAAGATAAGTTAAACCTTCTATTTTCTTACCAAATGAAATGAAATACTCAGAGGAAGTCCCCCATTAACAGAACAGTGGAGGCTGCCATTTCAGAGGTTCAGCACTGAGATGACACTATTTCCATCTGCGAATGGAAGGTGTCTGATTTGCCTCTGTAAAGCCATTCCTCCAGTGGCTGAGGCTGGTGTTTCTGCAGTTAATGAGACTTGTGTTGGCTGCACCACATTGGGAGTGTGCCTGCACAAAACATGCAAATATTCGTTGTGCCTCACGTTGTCTTCAGGTGCTGAAGAAGTGAGCAGATCTTAGATCACTAATAAATAACAATCCAAGCACTGAATTTAAAACAGTTCTCAGTCCATTAAATAATTGACAGAGCTATAGTTCGGTCTTTCCACCAAGTTGTTTTCTATCTAACACTTGCTCTTTAAAGGGAAGCTTAAATAACACGGACAATTAAAAATGAAGCAAACAATAAAAAAAGAAGAAGGAAAGATTCCAGAATCCATTGTGTGGGATGGCAGGCCTCTTAGCCTTAGTTTTGATAAAAGGAATGCTCCTAAGCATCTGAGGCAAATCATTCTTGATGTAAGGACAGGACACAATAATGCTTGGAATGGGTGGGAACATTCACGTATTTTTAGAGTGATATCTATACATTAGGTAGCACATTTAGTTCCTAGAGATTTTAGTCAAGTATTAGTATTTCTTTTTACCAAATGTGATATACAAAAAAGATGAGAAAAGTAGCTGTGCCTTAAAAATATGAAAATATAATATATTAAACAAAACCACTATAAATTACATAGATTCTTAGTATAAAATTGTTTTTTTCACTTAGAATAAATATCATCCAAGTTTGCAGATCATCTAAGTGAATTAAATATGCACATGTATCTGAATCATTTTCAGATTCTAGATAAAAATTGCTAGAGATATAACCAGATGACTCAGAAACCAGAAACTGTTTGATTTTGACAATGACCAAAGAACACGGCTTGGGATTTAGTGTTAAGCTTTTAAAACCACCCAAATGAGTCTGCATACACACAGCCCTATGTCTATGAATTCTATGAAGCTGTAATATCTTTAAAAATCAGCTGAAAGCCACAAGGTCTCCTCCATTTCATATTCTAGCAGGAGAACCTTTCTTATTTTGTACAGAAGCTATAGGACAGATAGGAAGAGTACAGAATTTCTGGAAGGAGAGATCTCCATTGTAAGCCAATCTTCCTTTAGGTTGGCTATTATTATATCAAGAGCCTTTTCATACTTTAAAGAGGGGGAAGTTTTGAAAATCTGTATAATCTTCCCAGTCTAAAGAAGCTAAAAGCAAAATGGAAACATTCTTTAGTCACACATTTCTGCTCCTAATTCATAAAAAATTTGCCCATTTTAGACTTTTCATTCCAAATCAAGTCTAAATTAAATATCTCCTGTAATTTTCACGTGGAAAGGTGCACATGGGTTTGGGTGGAATGAAAACTGAATACATTGAGAAGTTCACACAATGCCACAAAATGAGCTTCAGTCTCTGTTGTTTGGGGTATACAGATCCATGGTAAGAATTTGTTACTTCCATAACAAGTGGAAATGTTTATATTCTAAGAGTTGGAGATAAAATTTTTCTGCAACCCAGATACATAAAATCCTAGTCAAGAGAGCCTAATCAGGAATCACGGTATCTTTTAATTGCTCACTACTAATTTCTTTTTGTGACCACCCACGATTCCAACAGTTCATTCTAATCAAACTCCATGTCTTGTAGAACGACTTCCACATCAGTTATCTATGAACAAAAATAAGCCTGCCAAAGCCATTTCTAAAGCCAAACTCTCTGCCCTCAGGTATAGAGCTAGATGTATTTGCTGCAAAGTTTGGACAGCAAAAGCATCCAACCTCATGTACCCATTTTTGCTCCTAATATTGCTTGTATCTTGCAATGGGGGCCAACATAAGACATTACAAACTTTCCATAAAACTATAAATATCTGAGCTAGAAAGGATCTTGTGATCCATGAGGTATAATATAACCCCTATATTTTGCAGGTGAAAAAGATTAAACCCCAGAATAAGAAAAAGAATTGTCCAAGGTGACCAACTTATCCAGACAGTGACAGAACGAGGACTAAACATCTGCATCTGCTCTCTTCACTACCAGTGTGGTCCATGTACCCTCCAGTGTCATGACCCCATCACTTGATGTGTCCAAGGCCCTTATAAAGACTTCAAGGTCAGTGTCTCCATGCTCCTAAGAGAAAATGAAATAACACCACTCGTTCTTATCATGATTAAACCTAAACCATAGAAGTGGTCTAAATGATTAATTTGGGGTGGAGAGAGATCCACAACTTGCTTAAAATGCTATGATTTTTTAAAATCATCGCATTTATTTGAGTAAGTAATGCAGCATAAACAAGGTTAGGTAAACCCAGAGATATAAATAACTATCTTTAAAGTGACCGTGAAAAAACACAAGGATGAAAACATGGGTTTGGTTCTGTGAGAGAGTGGGACCCTTTAAATGGTGCCCAGGGCTCATCTAGAGTGGCCCGTCTGACATAGGAAAACTGAAAGCCAGACTTGCCCAAAGCCAGGCAGCTGGTTATTAGCACAGTCAGGTAAGGTGTTGGCCTTTGAATGACTAGTTTTGTCTTTGTCTATAACATCACTCTGCCTTGCATATAACTGCTTTCTTGTGAGACTAAATAATTCAATAATTTTGGCATTAAATTTGATGGTGCAGTTTCCTATGCTGTTGTCATAATATTTATATCCTTCCCTGCAAGCTTCTCTGGGTAGCCAGTATTCTACAGCACATAGGAATTCATCAAATGCCATGAGTATTATGGATACATTCGACCGTTTATAACCTCCCCCACCCATACCTCAGTTGAGCTCACCAAAATGCTCTCTGATTGAACAGGTAAACACAATTTTATTTGGCTATTAAAGTGCTATTCCTGGGCAAAGGTTTTTCTCAGTTTCACAACAGCAGCTTCATTGGAAACAAATAAAAATCAAGGTATGAAAACAAGCCTGGCAAGTAACAAAAATAAGGAGCCTCATAACTACTTTCGAACATTACAAGTGACTTATGAGATATCAGATCTGGTACGGGTGACTGATACCAAAGCCTCTGAGGTAAATGTTCTAGGGGAAAATAAGGACAAAGAGGACTAAACCAGAAAGAGCAATTAGTATTAATATAACAACAATTACTCCATTATAAAGGAACAGTGAAAGTAATAAAAACTGAGAAGAAAGTGCAACAAACCCATATACGTGCATTTGCTATTGTAGCAGACCTATAATTTTTTTTAAAAGAAAAGCAATGCAGTGTGCATCGGACAGGGCTCTTGAACTCAGAATTTATCTTACAGTAGTGTACTCTTTGCCAAAAGGGCATCACCTATTAAGGTACTTGGCAGAGAATAGTCTCTAAAATTCGTATCACTTGGACAGACTCCTCCTGTCCAAAATTATCAATTCTGCACCCTGATGTTTCCCGCATCCTTTTCTACTGGGGAAGGTCCAGTCACATGAGCTGCACACAGGTGTTTCCCCTTTTAAAATGGCATCACTCCTACCTAAGGGATGAGAGTCTCCTGGTAAGGCTTAGCGGCAAGTGCGTACTACATCTGGACTACGAGGAGCAGCCCCTGATTTTCTTGATATGCATAGCTTTTCGGAGTTGATATTAGACATGGCTTTCATAAATAATGCAGGTGTTTATGTCGTTTCCTACTGCTGGCTCTGTGGTTTCCAGGTGAGCTGGAGGCAAGACTCTATCTATAGATACCTCCACAGGTGTGGGCTCTTCAGATGTTAGCTCCGTGGATGTTACATCTGTGGAAGGCTCTGCAGTTTCTGCGGAATGTTCAGCTGATGGTTCTGTCTCCTCTTCATCTTTGACTTCAAACTGTACCCCTTCTTGGTCGTCCATGTGATCTTTTCTGGACTGTGGATGAACGGACACCTTGATGGCAATCTGCTGTGGCTGTTCATGCAGCGATGAGGCGTCTGAGTCGGCGGTGGGGGAGTCGCTTCGCTTCAGAGAGTTCGGGATCGTGTACACCTCATCCCTGTCTGTGGCCTCCTGGCCTTCTGGGGTGTGCCGCACGAAGTTCTGCCCCTGCTCCTCCAGCCCGACCACTTCCATGATCTCCTCCATGATGGTCCTGCAGTTCATGATGAGAGGAGGCAGAGGCACACTCCTGGCAAGCTCTTCAATGTAGCGGGCAAACTCCATGGTTTTGAACTGGGTGACTTTGGCAAGCTCTAGAGTTTTGGCTGAGGTGATGATGGGGATCCGCTTGGCAATCTCAAATGCCTTTTGCAGCTTCTCTGCGCCTTCTGTCCTAAAGAACTCGTTGATGGCTTTCTCAGTCTTCTTCAGGTGGCTGCTCATCATACACAGGCGGGTGATGTTGAGGACCATGACGATGGTGAAGGCCACGAGGCAAACAACCATGTAGTAGACACCCATGTCCCCAGAGGTGAAGATGACGCGCAGGGTCACCGTGTTGTTCACAGTGCCATAGACATTAGAAGCAACACATGTGTATTTACCTCGGTCTGAAAAAGACACCTTGGTGATGTTCAGGAGGCCACTCTCGAGCATCTGCCATTTTCCTGTTGGAAGGGAGAGAAGAACATTCAAAAAAGGACATACAGCGCCCACTGATGTGACTACAGACTCACATATTACTAAAAACATCTACCATCGACCATCACATCAGTGACCATTTACTGTGTGCCAGACACTGATGCGTATGAACTCACTGAGTCTTCACAACTCTGTGGGACAGGCAGGTAGTAACACTAGCCCTGTATACAGGATGAGAAAACTGAGGCACAATTAGATTAAACCTTCCCAAGGTCAGCAGTTTGGAAGCAGCAGAGCTAGAAGATGAGCTCAAAGTTCAAGAGGCTGTATTCTTAACCACCAGGCCGTACTGTGTAATTTCACATCCTGGGGAAAATAAGAAAAATAAACCATCCGGAAAATACTGAACTCTTACTGGAGAATTCCTTAATGCTAGCATTCTAACCTGCTTGTGAGCATGACTCTAATGAATATATGTTCATTGGGAGTTTAATGTTTCTCAGAGTATAGTAGTCCAGGACCAACCTAAGATCTGGAGTAAATCAATTAAATTATAATTTTTTACCTGGGTTCCTCATATTTGATATTGAAGTTATCCTTGTATGACCTCAGTTAATTAAAACATAATTATGTCATTAACTTTGAGAATCTAAAATGAATTGTCTATATTACTTAAAGTTATAAACTAACAATGAACAGATTCAGAGACTGCATATGAACTAGTATCAGTTTGCTTTAGCCTTGCAAATAAATTATAGACCCATCAGATTGAAGATAAGCCTCACACAAGACAGAGAATGCATGTTGATAACAGCAATTCTTCCTCCCCCCTCTGTCCTGGAAAGGACCTGGTGTTGCCCTCGGAATGGGGTTCTGAGTCAGGCAAAACTCTTTAGTAGGCGTTCTTGGTCTGCCCGTACACTTGGTCTCCCCTACAGGTCAGAGGAGCCCTGGACAACATACAAGCAATGCTGGCTTGTGGATCTTGGGTCTGAGCCTTTCTGTAATCCTACCACCCACCTCCCTACACTGTCCTGCAGAGAATGGAGGGTCCAGGTCAGCCCTCTTGGGAGTTCTAAGGAACAGAGCAGGCAGATATTTCTCCATAAGAGCACTCCAAGTCTCTAAGCCAACTAGAGGGACCTCTCTAGAGAGATGGGACAATTAATGTGTAGTTTCAAGTGTCTATTATTATACTGTATTTTGCTTCTTCCCTCCTGGCAGTGACTTTTAATTCTAAGTCTGATATTCCCCCAAAGCAACAAACAAAGTGTTCCTTTTTTAAATTCATGAGCACATATGCCACCAAAGTCTCAAGGGACCGAGAAATGAGGCAACAGAGGGCCTTCTTTATGCCAGTGTCGTTCTGCTACAGCATGGTGACTACAGTCCCATGAACGTCCTTCCCTCCTGGGGGCCGACAGTCCCTCGACTTGCTAGCAGTGGCGAATCTGGCAGGATGCCTTTGCTGGATGCTGCCACATTCCTTTGCTCTCTGAAAGAACGTCTGTGAGGAGTAGTTCCTAGCGTCCCTGAGTAACCCTTTTCTAACAATTCACCCAGTGTATTTTCCCCAGGAGCACAAAACACTGGGTTGAAAAATCTAGTGAAGTTTCAATCTCTGTGAATGTGCATGAATAAACAAGCCTAGCACCCGGTCTGTGAAATTTCTCTCATTCAGACAGAGCAAGAGCAAGCCTTCTACCTCTTTTATTCCCTGAACCTCAATTTTGATACTTTTGCTGCAGATTTGCCCAAATGTATAATCATATGAGGCAAGGGAAATTATGCATTTATTTTCTTAATATTTGCATGTTTCCTAAAAGTAGACTAGAGCAGGCATAGGGGGAAAAAACTCTAGCTGCTTTAAAGCTTATTATAGACATGGAAGGTATTGGATTCCAGAGAGTCACAGACTACATCACAGTAGTTTCTCATGTTTACCTTCCTTCATTTATAAGAAAACACATTGGGAAACAGGGTGAAGAGGATGAGGAGGCAAGGTTATTTGTATGGGGAGTGAATAGGATCAATTCATTCATCTACATCCCCATTGCCATTCCTTTTGTGGAGGGATTGATTGTAATTCAAAGAAAGATAATTTGAACCTGGGTGCAGAAGAGCAAAAGCAGAAATGAACGCTAAAGGAAGAAGCTGGTCATCTATTTGATGGTAATATAAACAGCCTTCTCCTCACACCCACATCATAATTTTAGTGGTAGTTGTATTCTGTTATAGGCAAAGGGAATGCAGCAATACATATTAGTTACACCATACCAATGCTTTCCTCTACTTAAAAATGTTTAAATTTATAATTATTTTCAGGCATACTTGTCATTGTGTACTGACATGTATTTATCTATTCTGGGCCTGAGTGATTAAATGCAGTTAGAATTTAGACATTTCAGAAAGTTTCTTACCACACTGTGAGAAGAGGCATAGTTTGGAATCAAACACAACCTTATGAAGCGACACTTGTGACTTGTTTGGAGGAAAACAGAGATTTCCAACAGATAACTGCTTAGGGGCACATGTGCTTCTTACTTGGCTCAGGACAGCGGGTCCTTAGACTAATGTCTTGCATGTACTTTATTCAGTCATTAACTTAGTTTATTCTTGAATTCTGAAGTCCAGCATCTTGTATGTATCTGTGGCTATATTTGCTTACCTATAATCTATGACAAAAATGAATCTATGTTATGACCCTAAAACTCTTGGGCTATTACCTATAGTCTGAGCTGCAACACCCGAGTTAAGAGATTGAGACCATATCTCTCTCTGCCAGCAACTTCCTGTTTCCAGTCTAAGATGAGGACACCAGGATATCTCTTTAGTTTTTGGTCCTTTACTAGATTCCTCTTGAAACAACCATCATATCTATTTTATGGGTTAAGGTAATATTAATGACATTTGGGCTTCCACCTGGATTAAACATTCTATTATCAGATCACAAAGCAAGTCTTTGGAAGCCAACACACACACATCCTAAGGACTATGATGTCAGAAGAGCTAAAATTTCGACCTCAAAGGTGACATACAGCTGTATGGCTTCCCTTTGAAAGGCTGATACATCCATTCCTTCCTAGGAACTAAGACTCTGAGTAATGCCTCTCAGCTGCAGCTTGACCTTTGACCAGTGGCAAAGATTTCTGCATGTCTTACTATTATATGAATCCCATACAACTAAGGTGGTGGCACAAATTCCACTTTGGGGGTCCTCCCACCCCAGCTTCGAGTCCAGGCTCATGCAGCATCTCCACAGGGCACCCACCCAGCTGAGATCATCTCAAGTACACTTTCTGTGCTGCCCATAACCATTCACCTCTGTCTGTAAATATTGTGTCCCCAGACTTATTCTGGAACAGTTCCAACTTCAGTTGTTAGAAAATCAAACAAATAAAACACCCCCAGTGTTTTACACATGAATCAGGCATACCCAGTGCTGTCGCCATGCATTTCAAATTGCAATTGAGTGGGAATGTCGAAGTTACATGTTGAATTTTCATTAAGTTGCATCACTTCAGAACCAATAAGAACCTAAAATGTCAGCAGCTGATGCTAAGTCAGTTCTATGTGCAAAGATTTTGGAGGAAATAAAAGAAGTAGCTATTGAATCATTTCTTTCTGAATATAATACAAGAGATTGCTAAAATATTTCCCAATCACTCTTGATAGAAGTTCACTTCCATCCTGTGCCTTGCTCAGACCATAGTTCCCCACTTGGGAACGCCCTTCCTCCATCCCCTCTCTTTCCACTCTGGTCCTGGAAGGTGACACACACCTGAAAGATTCAGGCTAAAACACTGTCACATGCAGCAGCAGAAGAGCTGCTGCATCTCTACTGGACACCCGTGTTTGCCCAGGAATCTGTCACAGTCTTGCCTAAGAAACTCCAGGCACAAGAGTCACACATGAAGATCAACCACACGTGAATAGTCATGTTGTGGTGACACTGTCTCCTTTGCAAAGAGAAAAGCTAACAGATGTTATTTCTTAGCTGTACTGCAGTGTGTGCTATGCTGCACAACAAAGCTGACATTTTTAGAAGGGCAGTAAGCCTTTTCTATCTTGTTCAAACCTTCAGTCAACAATTATTGAATAAACCATCCATATACCAGGTTCCACGCTCAACTGTGCAAACATAAAGACGATGCCTGACTGTGAAAACAACCCAGGCCAAAAGGGGGACACAGACTCCAACAAATAACCGAGGGATCGCTGGTGCAGGGCAGCAGAGTGACAAAAGGAACCGTGAGGACAAGCTTCCTAGAGAGATGTGAGGTGCTCGCCGGGGCCAGGACATGGCGGAGTGCAGGGTGCAGGCAGGCAGGACAACGAGGGTAAAGGGAAAGGACTTTTAAGACCACAGGGGAGTGGTAGGTGGAATAGGGTAGCATTGAGCCAAAGAAGGGACCCAGTGTACAACACGCCTGTAGCTGACAAGCCATTTTTAGAGTCAAGGACGGCTAGGGTAGAGGCAAGGCTTGGGAGGGGCACAAGGCCAGAATATTCCAGAGCTTAAAATGTTTATGCTGTCAGAGAAAAGGAGTCCCTCATTTTGTGAGACGTCCCCTGATTCCTTATCTTCAGGGGCCTCAGGACCCTCCCACGTGTTCTCTCTCCCTGGAATGCTCCCCTCCTCCCCGACCGCACACATTCTCAGCGCAGCTGAGACACCACCTTGGCATCTTCCCTTGTTTGCTGCAAAAGCCTCCTCTGGTCCCTGATCAAATCAGTGGAGAGAACCTCAAAGTCCAGAAGCAGATACCAGGAAGTGGGGGAAATGTAAAAAATAAGGAAGATGTCATCTCAAATCAGTGAGGAAAAACATATTGTGATAATTGACTACTCGTTTGAAAGAGTAGTTAAATTCCTTCTTTATGTGATACATAAAAATAAATTTGAAGTACTCTGAAGATCTAAATGTAAAATTAAAAGTATAAAATTAACAGAATATATTAAGACATTTTTATAATGTTGGAATAGGAAGGCTATTTTAAGCATTTCAAGAATTGTGGGAAATGTA